TTTGATCTACATACGTGCTATCACACAGGCTTTTCCGATGCAGCACACAGATCTTTATGATGGTCATGAAAGAAGGCATCCTAGACCTTTTCTATTCATGCAGCACTTTAAATATAAGAACTTATGACAAAATATCCCAGTTTCACCGCAAAGCCGATGTAATGAGTAAGGTAGCGACAAGCTAAGTAAGGCTAAATTTTTATATCCAGTGTTGCGTGACTCTACAAAACGCTGCTGCAACAGAACATCGTGGTGTGAAACGGGAATCCGCACAATCGCTTATCGTTGAGTTCGGAGAACGTAGAAGGGTATGCAAGCCATCCGCTGATGTCTATCAACATAGCATATGCCACCGCGTCCTCATAGTCAACATTCACAGCCGCTGCTCGAACGTTCCTCCCCCATCCCCACTTTCACTTCCGTGTCTTTTCGTGAACCTTCAAAGGAATTATGGCGTTCACCTTTTGCTTCAGCAGAATTTGGTAGCATGCTTCACCCACGTGTTAATCCTACTGCATGCGACCTCTGATCAACGGAGATTGGCGGATGCGTTTGATCAGCCGTGTTCGTCCTCGCCGTTCACACACTTTTACGCAAGCGTAACTAATACGGTACACAGGGGAATGACAATGCTGGGAACTTTCATCAGCAACATGACGGCAATGGCGACGTCGATGGCGATAATCTGTCGATAATGTTCATGTGGTTGATATCGCTATAGCACACACTTGCGATAAAACATGAAATATTAGGTTCACTGGTATGCTATTTTTTAGCCTCTCCGAAGAAGCCCTACAGATTGACATACGTTCCGATCCCATAGACAAGAGGAACTTATCGTCATTTTCACTGACAGATCCCACGTAACATGGGAATCAACGTAAGTCGAAGCATTCACAAGGAGTGTGACCTTGTTGTAATTTTTAATTAAGCCAAACTTGGAAATCAAGCTAAATACATGTACAAATCTTGTTATTCTGACATATGTTAAACAGTAGCGTGTGCTTTATATAACCAGATGTTTACAGTTGTGCAACAATGGCAGCAGCAGCATAGTTATTACCAACCCAGAAGAGGTAAGAGGATATGTAGCGCTTGTGCTTGCGAGGATGATAACTTTGGTTATTGATGCGTAGACCAACTTCAGCAGATGCCGATGAAGTGTATAACCGACGCTGAGCCGACGTAAATCCTGTGTCATAGGAGCACATATGTGATGTTTATAATCGATTTTACTGACCAGAAACGCAACCATAATTCCCGTTTCACCAGCAATATGGTGTTTTTCCAAAGCACTCTCGAGACCTAACGCGACTCTGTGGTACTGTACACTATTGCCACGCAGAATGCTTCGTTTCAATTTGTGTTTAGACCATAATATATTCACGTGTTACAAAAGGTCTTAAATTGGAAGAACCGAGCCGGTGGTGAGGCGCACCGAAAATTGGCACGATGGCTGCTTCACTAATCAACAAATAACTGGAGCGTGCGCTGCTTCAGAACATCATCTTCAATTCTAGCGGGCAGCCGTGGCTTGCGCTCGCCGTACCTAGCGGCCAAGTGGCATTATTTCCCTGTGAAAAAAATAGGCATCACTTTGATGCTCGGAAAGTACAAAGTCAAGGTCTTGTCGAACCAACTTAAAATACACACATACAAAAAATTGCAATAGGGTTCATGCGCAGTCACACTACCGCGTGTAGTACGGCTTCAGTCGCACTACGTGCCCAATCTCCGAGGAGTGCCTTCACCACCGTGGCGAGAAGGCGCCATCAGGGACTACCTCGTAGTTCACATCGCTCATGCGTCGCAACACTTTGTATGGTCCGAAGTAGCAAATGAGCAGTTTTGCTCACAATCTCTGGCGTCGGACAGGAATCGACAACCAAACTTCATCGCTGGGATGGTATTGAACTAATCGATGGCGAGCGTTGTAGCGGCATGCGTCTGTACTCTGATGGTGCGTAATGTGTAGGCATGCCAACTTGCGTCTTCTTCGGCGTATTTGGTAAGCTGCACCGCGTCAGAAGTGATCAAAGCGTCGCATTTGTGTTGAAGCATTGCATCCAGCATGGTCTGGACCTCACGTTCATAGACAAGACGGAAAGGCCTGAATCGCGTAGTTTCTTGGACGGCAGTATTGTACCCGAATGATACGTACGGTAGCACTTGGTCCCAGGTCTTGTACAGGACAACTACACATATGGATAACATGTCAGCGATGGTCTTGTTGAGCCGCTCTGTCAAGCCGTTGCTCTGCGGATGATATGTCATGGTCTTGCGATGGCTCGTGTAGCTGAGCTTGAATACGTCATGAAAGAGCTGGGCCGTGAATGCTGTTCCTCTGTGATTACGCACGACGGGGTGCCATGTCGAAGAACTATCTAGTTCATGAAGAATTGGGCGACGTCGGAAGCCGTAGCGCGTTGTAGTGCTTTTGTTTTGGCGTTCTTCTTAAAATAGCCGGTGGCTACTACGATTCATTTGTTGCTGGCAGATGATAGCGGGAAGGGCCCCAGTAAATCCATTTCCATTTGATCCAATGGTACTCTAGGTGGTTCTATTGGTTGAAGAAGCCCAGCGGCGTTCAGTGGTGGGGATTTGCGGCGTTGACTTTCCTGGCACATTTTAACATATCGCTTTACGGATGCGGAAAGCTTAGGCTAGTAGTAAGCTTGTCAAACTCGGGCGAGAGTTCGAGGGGAACCTAAATGACCAGGTGTGGGCTCATTGTAGCAGGCGAGAAGAATGTCGTCACGCATGTCAGTTGGCACAACTAGAAGATAGGCTCTCTCATTGCCGTTGCAGTTTTTCTTATACAGGACCCCATCTCGCAGACAGAATGACTACAGACTTCGAGAAATACATTGAAGTATGGAAGAGTTGCGTCCTTCAAAGTTTTCAATAACTGGGCGAATTTTTTCGTCCGCGCACTGTCGTGTAATCAGATTCGTTGTAGTAAGGGCCCCAAGGAAACTACCGTCATCCTCGATGTCGTAGCCACAAGCTTCCACAGGTGCACGGGACAATGAATCAGCATCTTCGTGCTTGCGACCAGATTTGTAAGCGATCGTGAAGCCGCATTCCTGCAGATGAAGACTCCGTCGGGCCAGTTGCCCACACGGGTCCCGTAGTTTGGCTAACCAGCACAACGAATGATGTTCGGTCACTACCTTGAAGTGGCGTCCGTAAAGATTAGGCTGTGGCCCATACAACAGCGAGGCACTCTTTCTCTGACGTGGAGTAGCTGACCTCGGTGCGGGAAAGAGATCGGTTAGCGTACGCTATCACTCGCTTTGTGCCCACTTGTTGTTGGACGAGGACAACACCACGACCCACGTTGCTGGCGTCAGTATGAATTTCAGTATCAGCGTCTTGTTCAAAGTGAGTGAGGAGTGGGGGTGTCTGCAAACGCTCCTGTAATTCATAGAAAGCTGTGTCCTGTTCTTCCTCCCAGACGAATTGAACATCTTCACAAGTGAGTCGAGTGAGCGGTTCAGCAATCGTGAAAAAATTGGCTATCAAGCGGCGATAGTACGCGCAGAGCCCTAGAAAGCGACGTACTGCCTTTTTATCACGTGGCATAGGAAACGAGGCCACGGCAGCACTTTTGTCAGTGTCTGGTCGAATACCATCCGCACTGACAACATGGCCACGAGAAACCTAAGTTCCTTGTAACCGAAGTGACATTTTTCTGGCTTCAGTGTCAGGTTAGCAGAGCAGAGCGCCTCCAGCACATTCAGCAGACGCTTCAGGGGCTCCACAAGGTCACCGAAAACACGACATCATTATCCAGAAAAACTAGGCACGTGTGCCACTTAGACCGGCAAGAACAGCGTCTACCATTCTCCGGAATGTCGCAGGTGCAGAACAGAGGCCGAAGGGAAGCACTTTGAGTTCATAAAGGTCATTTGGTGTAACGAAGGTGATTGTTTCACGATCTCCTTTGTCAACTTTGATCTGTCAGTAGCCACTTTTCAAGTTTATCAATAAAAAATACTTAGCCCACCGCAGTCTGTTGAGGGAATCGTCGATGTGGGGCAGCGGATAGACGTCTTTTTAGTCACGCTGTTAAGTTTCCTGTAGTCCACGCAGAAGCGCAGTGATCAAGCTTTTTTTCTTCACGAGCACAACCGGAGATGACCACGCAATCTTCGAATGTTGGATAACGTCATCTTGCAACATCTCTTCGACTTGAGAATTAATCACGTCACGTTCCTTTGGCGAAACGTGGTAAGGTGGTAAGGGTGTTGTTTTATGGGCGAGGCATCGGTATACGCAAATATTCGGTGTTTGGTGATCAGCCTCTGACGAACCTTCGAGGTGGACGCGAACCACTCTTGAAATTGATATAGCAGTTCACGTAGCTCGGTCTGCTCTCGTTCCGAGAAGGTTGAGTTGACATCAACTTCTGCAAGTAGTGAAGTCACGTCGCTTGTAGTCGGTTGAAGCCCTTCGTCGGCTGATGTAGATGCGGAGCATTCAGAAACGTCTGCGATAGGGTAGGCGAAAGCGATGGCGGTGTCACGAAACAGGTGCCGGTACTCGTTACTGAAACTATTCACAAGTAGGCGAGAGTGTCCGACATAAAGCGTGACGAGGCTGCGTGCTGCGCAGACACCTAGCGCGAAATAAAGCGCCAATTAGCCTTCGGTCACAACCTCACCATCCTGTAACTTGTCGGACAGCACATCAGCAAGGATGCTTGAACGTTGAGGCAATGTGATGCTGTCGGCAGAAACACGAAACTTGCTGTCACAGATGTCGTTAGATTTGTCGGGGCATCCAGCTATCGAAAATGTCGCGGTACGCTCTTGAAGATCCATAATAGCGCCCTGGTCCCGTAAAAGGTTGACCTCCAGGATTAGGTCTCGGGAACAGTCACGAGGTACGAGGAAGCTGGCGAGAAACGTACGTCCCCGAATGCTTACTCTGATAGTGCACAGGCCGATTGGGGTGACTACGTGCCCACCGGAAGTACGAATTTGTGCTGCGTACCAAGGCGTTACAACTTCCTTCATGTGCGTTGCTAGTTTCATGTGCGTTGCCAGTCCGCACCTGTATCCAAAAATGCTCTAACGTCGTGGTGACCGTCGACTACCACATGTATATCCAAAGAAAATCTGCTTTTGGCTTTCGTCATTGTCGTCGGGTATTCGCTCCGGGTCCGTACTTGTGTCGGTGAGAGCCTTGCTTGCGTCGAGTGTCAGCGGCCTCGCTCTCGAAGGTCACTGTCGTTAGTTTTCCCGCCTAGGGCTTGGCGAGTGCGCCAGCGCCACCCCTGGAAGGCTCTGAAAATTGGGCGAAGATCGCCTTGGGGATGGGGACTGCGACTTCCGCCGCAGTGGCATGCGCTGTTGTGAAAGGTATTCTGCAATAGCTTTGGTCTTTCGCCGAATCTCGCCCGTGGCGAGTCAACGGCGAAACCCTGTCGTCCGTGGCGACGATAGGGACATTCCCGGTACACATGTCCAGTTTCACCACATTGATAACACAGTGGTCGTCTGTCCGGTGTGCGCCGTACGTCATATTTTCTGGGAAGCGCCTGCCGATTTTCCAAGTGCTAAATTGACTGCAGCGAAGGAAGCGCACCCTGAGGCATAGGATTAACGAAGCGCGGTGAAGCATGAATATATCGACTGACAGCTTCTGCGTATGATGCACGATGTGGCTCCGTCGGGAAATGCGGGCAATAACCTGAAGGCGGCACTTGGAAAGCTTGTGGTACTTCGTTTCTGACGAGGCTGCAAATAGACCCTGCAGTAGGTTGGGACTGGCCTCGAATCTTTTGTAGTTCGTCTTGCACCACTGATGGATTGAGGTCGCAGAGAAGCTAGATGTTTATTCTGCGTCCTGCACCTCCGATATGACCTACTGATGAAGCGACACTCACTTGCCGGTCGTACACAGTAGAACGCTGCGGCAGCACTTGTTCCATGGTTGTGGCTTCGGTCGAAAATTCCGCCACGGTTCTTGGGGGACAGCGAATGAGGCCAGCGAAAAGCGGCTCTTTCACTCCTCGCATTAAATGATGGACCTTCTCTTCTTCCGCCATGTCGAGGTCAACTCGACGAAAGAGGCTCGTCATGTCCTCGACTTACATCACGACACTTTCATTCGGCATTTGGAGGCACGACTGAATCACTTGCTAGCTCGTTTACAGCGATTGGGGTCGGCCCAACTTGCCACCAAATATGGACGAAAGACGCTCCACAAGGAAAAAGGCTCACGGTTTTCGTACCAAGTACGAGCGCTGTTCCATAAGCTGAAATACACGTTCCTTATCTTGTCAAAGTCGGTCCAATCATTGTAATCGGAGACCTGTACGAACTGAACCAGTCAGTCTTCGACATCCTCCAAGACGTAACCATGGAACACCTTCGGCACACGTGGCTTCCACGGCGTATGAGGCGTGTCTGCAGCGTTTCGCAGTGCGTTGGAGGCTGCAGCGCCTTAGCGTTGGGAGGTGTGACGTCATCTCGGGAAGCGGTCTACGCTCAGGAGGTAGTCCTCGGAGTCTTCGGCTTGAGCGGTGAACAGGTGTTGTCAATGCAGGTACAGGGCTACCTGGAGGCGTTTTGGAACATAGGCTGGGGGTTACCCAGTACATCCACCAGATGTCACGTGCTGCAAAAGATCTTTAACTTGGAAGAACTCGGAGACGCACAGAAAACTTGCAAGATAGCTACTTCAATAATCAACAACTAACTAAAGCGCACGATGCTTCAGAACATCGTCTTCTATTCTAGCCGGCAGCCATGGCTTGCGCTCACCGTACCTAGCACTCAAGTGGCAATACTTATGTTTTGCATTCATCGAGTAACAGCTTCTGGATTTAGTTTTTTTATGTTGCGTTCTTGAACTTGAATTACAAATGTGTGTTCCCGCCGCTCCAGAGTCAGCAAACTGTCAATCACCCGTGTCGTATACCCGCAAACCGCCCACGGGGTATGGGTATGTGCCACAAGTGTGGGGAAGAAAAGGTTTGACGACGTACGTACTCAACGGGATTTGCAGGTTATTAATCATGTCATGAAGCATCAAATTTGTTCCACACGTTTTTTTACCCCTAAATACTGATACTGCTCTACCCCAAGATAATGAGGCGATACACGTAGTATAAATTGGGGTATATGATATACGGCGATATATACTACACATATCGCCTCTTAACCTAGCAGACAAATACTAGTATTGTATAAAGTGCGATATATACACACATGGGTGGATGGATAGATGGATAGATGGATAGATAAATAGTTAGATAGATGGATAGATAGATAGATAGATAGATACTACGCAAAGAAGTGCTTTGCATTAGAAAAGCAACGACAAAACGTATGATTTCACATTTACTATGCCTTGCCTCTTCACTCTTAATTCATGTTCTCTACAAAGGTGAACTGCAGGGACCTGAGAAGAGCATAACGAAGTCATGAAAACGGAAAGGAAGTTTACACTATAATACGCGTACAAAGAAAACGAAGTAGCTTTGGTCACCTAATTTTTACTTTACCATACGCGCACTAAAGAAAAAAAAGGAGCTTTGTCCAGCTAACTTGACCGTGAATTGTTTTCCTTAGAATGTGTAAAAGAGTAAAGTAAGAATTACAAATGTACATCTTAAGACTGTGATATGCATGAAGTGTTTAAAAATGCACTAAAAAGTAATGAAAATGAAAAAAAACAAGATTTCTCGGCATCACAGTGAAAAATCAAAACTGAAACAGAAACTTGTTTGGTTTGTTTAGGTGGCGACATCTAGTGGGATTCTGTGAAAATAATTCACGGGCTAAAGAAAATGCTTCTACGCGCGGCATTAAACCTGTGACCGCGCGCTGATGTTGCTATGAGAGTAACTATGAGAGTAACGCACTCGACCACGAATGCCACTGCACCGCTGGCGATAAGCAAGAGTTTATCAATATGCCAGAAGCATTCGAAGGAACTGCGTCGAAAAAACGCGTTAAAGAACAATAGAGAGGTTTAGTACTGCGGAATGGTGCTACGTACGCATTACGCAAGTGCCTTGCGTTACGTGGCGTCGTTTGCCACTAATAGGCTTTTAGTACGCCATAGTACCCGCGTACGTAACGACCGTGAAGCGGGTTGCGCCATCTGGTAGATTAAAATAGAAGCACGTGTTGTTGACAGCCAAAGTGAGCCAATCCAAGTGTTATAGCCAGATTATGGCCATATTTTAAGCCACAGAGCCGGTCGATGCTTGCCTTCGATGCCGCCATTTTGCAAAACGAAGTCTCGCGCTATCGCGAACTTGTTCGAGAGCGGCGCGATCACCTTATACGCACGCACGCACGCATCTCATGCGTACGTACGTAGCGGCTGCGTACGTAATGAGATACGTGCGCGTTGCGGTCTGCGCATGCGCACTACGCAGAACGTGGCGTCTTTACGTACGCAACGCCGCCACGTACGCAGCGTACGCAGTACTAAAACTCTCTAATGTTATGCCAATTGGGGCACGTTGAGAATGGCTTCAATCGTCGTATTTGTTCGACGGCGGTAACCTCGAAACATGTCGATTTAATTTACATAATAATCTTTTTTTGATTTTGTTACCAGGGCTTGTTGTTTCCGAAAAAAATAAAGAACGATTTCATAATGGTAAAAAAACATGGTGGAATTCAAGTTAATGTTTTTATACACTACAGCATATATTATCCAGAGCGATATTATATGACGCTGCTCATATTTGCGCCATCACTCTGGGGCAATAAAATTTCCTAAATCAAGCAATGCTAAGCAATTTAAAAAATTTAACAAAAAGAATTGTTCGTGATAATAAGAACAGCTCAATTGCTTCAAGCCAGGAGTCTCAAACAATCAGGAAACTTTGTTCCGCAAAAGCTAGGCCACTGAAGAGGGGGTGAAGCGGCATGTGAGGTGGGGGATAGCGAACGCAACGTAGCCTAATGCAACCATGCATGTTAAAAAACGCACTTTATATATCTCATGTGTGACTCGTTTTTGAAATGGACTTAGCCTTAGGATTGCAGCGAAATATCGATACTAAAAAACGCAATGACTCAAATATGGATGCCTATTCCGAAGTCTGGAATTTTCTACCAGTCTTATGTTTCAACACTTAGTGACCGCAAGGAGTGCTCAACAAAAAAAAAATTGTGTGAAGTCAGTCACGTCTTCGTAACACTCCCGAAGAACACGTTATTCTTTACAACAGGCTAGTAAAGGAAGCGAGTGTGTTTTAGCAATGTCCAAATTGTTTTATTTTTGGTGAAGCCGCAGGCCACGTGTCTTGATCTCCTGCCTTAAGATAAACACTGCATAACAAGCTGCAGTTAGCGAAGCGCGCTTTATTGCAATGCCGTGGTGGCGCGCTCGATCACTTCCCTCATTCTGAAAGGCGCAGTTCATAGCAAAGCCAGCGCAGTGAAACAGCAAATCAGAAGAGAAAAGACGCCGGTGCGCCGGCACCGATTAGCCTATAACACCAAAGACAAACTGAGATTTCAACCCGAATCCCCTGCGTGCAAGCCCAGTATTCCACCACTCAGCTACGCCAGTGCTTAAAACTCTGTCGCGAACTGACTCTATACAGGCTTCATGTCAGGAAACGAATCGCGTTAACGTGTGCAATCAAGCGTTCAAGAAGGAAGAAAAAATGAACAACCAGGTGTCGCACAAACGAGTGGGTCGTCCTGTAGCCTAGCCCGTTATAATAAACTAAGGCATATTCATTCATTGTCGTCAGCCTTACCATAAAAAATTGCACGGAATTCCTTGCAAGTTTCAAGCGAGTACCACGCTTCTCCGCAAACTTAGAAGAATGGCATAGTCAGTATTAGATAGTGACTTTTCATTACTCTGTTTTCAAAAATATGCTTGACCCTAACTGAAGAAATTTTTGTAAGCTTTGTTGTTTTAGGTTTGAGATACTGCCACTGGCATTTTTCTAATGCTGTGTATGACGTCTTTATGGGTACGAAATGAGAACCATTTCAAATATTTTATTCAAAAATATTCCTTTTTATTCTTATATGCGGTAAAATTGAACTAATCTCTTCATTATTCTTCCTTTCAGGTTAACACTGCAGTCTGGAATACGATCTAAATGGCATATCAATTTTATGCAATGTATTGCGCATTATTGCAATTCATTTGTTTTATTTTTATATCACCAAACCTTTTTCAAATAACCCTTAACTTTCATTAACGCAATAGTGACCAACCCGCCAGAGTGAGTACGCACCACTGGTGTAAACAAAGAACAAGCAAACAAATGTCTCCTCACCCCAAGAAAATGATATTTATGGCACAGTGGGTACCCTGCATGCGCACTGGCTGCAGTTACCGAAAATTGGTACTGAAAAGGCTCTGAAAAGGCCACTTTCCCAGCTTTCGCTGTGAATGTGTGGCGCATTCCACGAAGTTCTGGCGTATTTTTTTTTCACATAAAGTACTTTGCTTTTATCTATACCTTATATCAGTTTCTTAGGCCAACAGCTCTGACGTGATACGTCACTGTTACATTATATGGCAATGTCTGTTCTTGAAATAGTAATTGGGAAACGAATCCAAATCACCCTCTGAAGTCTCGCCTTTGGAGCATCGGTGTATCGTATACAGTGCACTATCCTTGCTCTATCTCAACAGGTTGTTTTCATGGAGCAATCACTTTACCACTACGGGATTCGCCGTCACTATTCACGCGAACCTCCCAAAGGCCAGTTCTACTTCGGAAAGATCAACGTACTCACAGTCCCGTGTGCAATATTCGTGAGCTACAATGCCAGCAAGATTGTGCAAGAAAGCCTGCACCAGACGTGAGTTCAATATCTGAAAACATAGCAAACACAGAGATCAATTTCACTTTTACACGTAGTATCAATGTTTGTAGTGCTTTATTTAATGATATGTACAGTTGACCACAAGAAGTTTATGGACCATGCGAGCGCATGGCCGAAAGCCTCTTCGCGACACTTCCGGTATACGTCAGTGGCGGTCGACACTACTGCAGCGCCCTGAAAGCATCCCTCCCCTAACTTATGTCCTGTTTGTTTTCTGACTGGGTACAAATATTTTTCACGTTTTGATTTTCAACGCTACGCGCTTTCGGCATCTGCATCTACGAGTTTGTGCCTGGAAAGCAGTCTATGAACATAACTGTTATCAGTCGCAATATTTATCACAAATTGACACCTAGCGAACGGAATGCCGTTTGAGACACGCCATGATAGAAGTTTGGCAGCTTGCGCGAGTTGGTATGGCATGACGATGGTTATAGCGCGAGAACAAAACGACGACACAGAGACAAGAAGGATTGTCTCTATGTCGTCGTTTTGTTCTCGCGCTATAACTATCGTCACGCCGGGATAGTTTCGATTGTCCTGTGAAAACAGCAATGTGATGGTCATAATTCACGTAACCGCTTCACGTGAAAACCGCAAACTAACAATTCGCAACCCGGCTGTAGAAAACTGAAAGGCCAGTTAATAAAAAGACGACCCGTTTCGAACCTAAAAGTGCGGTCGATGGTAGATGGCGCACCACTAGATGGCGCAGACCGGTAGTTTTGCACAGAATTGCTGTATATGCTACTGCATTTGCTACCCTTAGATAGCAGAGTTGCGCCACTGTTTTCCGGGCTCCGCTCCCTCTGCCTACAGGCGTTCAGTGCCACTACTCACCGAGCGCCATCACGTGATCATCGGTGGTTCATTTGCACTGCGGAGAAGCCAACGCTATGCAGATTCCGGGCAGATCAAGTGGGGTTGACAACGGCTGCTGTCATTCTCGCCGCGCTTTTTCGGTAATCTAGCCGTGCTGCCTCCTGGTCACGAGAAATGCGGCAGTAAATGCATTCTGTGTTGAGTTGTACGTAGAACCCATGCGATTAGAGGCGGATGCATCGAGTGTTTCTATAGAAACATTGCAACACTCGCTGTGTTCAGTCGGAAGGAATAAACCCTTGGCCATGTTGTCGTCAGCAGGATTCTCTCTTGGAGGTACAAACCATTGTTGCATTGCGGCTTAGGGAGAGCGAGAGCACTGTTCTAGCTTGGGTGAGGTCAAGTGCTGTTGTGGCTTGAGGGGGGCAAAGCCCTCTTTTCCACTTCTCTGCTAACACGCATGCGCTTGGCTTTTTTTGGCTTTTTCTTTTAGGCAGCATGTGTCAGCTGCATACGTCCAAATTAGTCTGGCGCATAAAACGCTAAAAATAAAGGAAGAATTTAAACTAGAACTATTTGAATCGGCAAGGTGTTGCTGCCAGTGCGTGAATTTATTGCAGCTTAGGACCCTAATCGAAAATAATGTTGAACACGACAGGGGTGTTGAACGACGATTCCCATCAGTTGTCGTGAGCCGCTATTGTAATACGAGCGTAATACGAGATGCACGCTTAACGCGGGCATAGCACGGCCACTCTCAATCACTATCCATCTCGATTCACTTAAAGACTTCAAAGCTTTGCCTGGGTAACTCACAGTGTTAATAAATGAGCCCAACGCGATTACAATGTTTCATTCCTGGCTCGATGGTGTCAAGAGTGAAAAATAAATGAAAAAAAAACAGTGCAAAAGAAGCCGAAGCTAATGTGCGGCTCACTATAATTGTACTATGTACCACTGGTCTAATGAGGTGACGCACGTTTTTTCATTATTACTTACCAAAAATGTAAACATAAAATGACGGCTTCCAGGCGCGACCAGAGCAACTGTGTTTGTCTCGTACCTTCAGAAAAAGTAGAAAGAAAAGACAGCAAGAATATAAAGCAACGTATAAGTGCGAGCGCTGCTCCAACGCGGTATGTGAGTGGCTTTCCCGCAAGACATTTGAACCCAAGATGACGCACCTTCACACAACTCTGCTACCTAAATGTAGCATATACAGTAACTCTAGTTTTGCACGCGCTCGCATGGTCCGCAAACTATTGTGGTCGACTGTACTTACCCTGTTAATTACCACGTATTTTGGGCTACGTAGGTTAATTGGTCATTCTTTTCTAATAGGTCTGTTCTAATCGCGGCGAGGTCTACAGTGATAATCGAGGGGTAACGAACGCAGTGACACAAAGAAAGGGGAACGGTGTATGCCACTGAACACGTCGCACCTAGCTGCGAACTAGAGCTCGCGCAGCCTACTTCATTTTCATGCAGTTTGTTTTTGGCACTCACAAACCAATAGGTGACACATAAGAAGCTTTGCTTTAAAACCATCAGATAATGAATAATAATCTGCTTTGATACTGCAGCGGGCACCATAAAGCTTTCGTAGCATTCTAACCTAAAGTACATAAGATTTAAGCAACGTATATTGCGTGAATTTTATTTGGAAATGCTGAATAAGTGACATCTGCAGTGTTGGTGCTTTTATTGTATACTTTTTTTATTATTCTAGAGTTAAGCCCGTGAAATATAAAACACATTATGTGATTTCAACTTGTAGCAGTAAGCATCGTCCGCAAAAGGTCAGCTCGTATAGTAAAGCTTTCAAGATTTTTGGAGCATTTCAGAGGCGGAGCTCTACCAGAAAGTGCGGACGTTCCCCAATAATGCTAATTTTTAGGTTGTGTTATCTGCGTTATTCTTGCTATAACCACAGGACGCGCTGGATCTGTGAGTCTGGGCTAATAGATCGACACCTAGAACAAGCGCTGCTGCAGACATGGCGACAGGCTGGGAATCGGCACAACACAGTGGAGGCCATACGCGCTGAAGACATTTCCGGGCTCTTCGCCGTCTTGATAATGGGAATGAGTATGGCAGCGGTGGGGACAATCGGCGAGGCAGTCATGGAGTGGAGACGACGCTCAGGAGCTGAAGTGAGCCGATTTGGCCTCAGATGGCGCCGCAACAGGCTCAAGCGAACCTTCCCATAGTTTCTCATTAAAAAAAAATATTAAAGGCCCTCTAAGAACAGCCGCTTCGGCGATGTGCAGTATAGGAGCAAAATAAAATGTGAAAATGGTCGACAGATTGTTACCGCAATAGCGTTAAAGAGCTCTTATCGCTAAAATTCCGGCATCGGTGTCAGTGTCGTTGGTTGTGAGGCAAAAATCATCCCTTTTTTGCATGACCAAAAAACCGGAAACAGTGCAAAAAATAAATAAATGATAAAAATTCTGAAGATTGGGTACCGAATCAGGGTTGCTTGGTTTCAAGTGGAGATCAAACCCGGGTCATTTGCGTGGCAAGCGGATGTACCACCACATGGTGCCACCTCCGCTTGTGAAAACTGTGAAAAGAACTCCCTCCGCTTAGAAATGCAGCGAAAGTAGCCTTCATGGTTCACAAACAAACGCGTCCTGTATACATACTTCACAATGAAACAAGAAATATTGAAGTAATAATGTGTGATACAAGCATCGATTGTCAACGGGCGTCAGAATATGTGATTATCATAATGGCTCTGTCGTTGAAAGCCGATACCCCACTGTAAAAGGCGCACACGCTACTGCGCCTGTTCCTTTAAGGCCACGTAGCAGGTATACAGCAGATTTGAAAAGGTTTTTGTGCACTAAGTGAGAACAACACGTTTTATGTCAGTTGTAAAGAAAGACTAAATATGACCACTTGTGCTTAAACAACCTTTTGAATACCATGGAACTGGCTAACCTCCCTGTCCTTCCTCATTTATTCCTCCTCCTCCTCCTCCTCCTCCTTGAACACCACGGACGTGTACAATGTTTCACATCGGTCATCATATTCGACATATTCATTTTATGCATTATAACGTGCCTTAGGCACTCCCTCAGGCTTAGAGGTGTAGCTAGACGCTGGCACCCTCCCCTCCCCTGAGTTTTTTTTTTCTGGTGGCATAAAGAATGAAAAGTGACCATTTTAAGGGGATGCTGCAACTCAAAACCAAAAAGCCCATAACTCCCCACCCCCTACCCACCCTGAAAACAACTTCTGGCAACGCTTCTCGTCAGCCATACTATTAATTTTTTTTGTAATGCAGACTAACGCATCCTAGAAATATAGTTAAGGATATTCAATAAGATGGAACAATAGCTACATTGTGACGGCTATATTATCACTTCGGCTTCTTTTTCATAACATTTCGTACAGACGAAGCGCAAACTGAACGGATTATACACAATAGGCAGCAGATTTCAGTATGCCTTCTACATCATTGTGGTAGAAATTACTCTTGACGAGTCCATCTCAAGTTCAAAGCGCTAATATCTTCCCGCGAATTGCGTTCTACGCAATATAAAAGCGTGTGGGCACTGTAGACGTTTACGACTAAAGCAGAGAAGAGCCGTAGCGGCCACCTCCATCAGGGCACATGCGATAAGGTCAACTCGCCATGATGGATGCCGGCTACAAACAGCCGTCTTCTTAGTAATTGCCGCGACGCTGATTTGTCGTTTCTGCAGAACAACTACGGAAAAAATTACCAAAATTAAGCATGACTTTTCAGAAAAAAAAATTGGCAGATCGCAGGTACAGTGCGAATCGATGATATGCAAAGCACGAATGAGGAAGGTTGATATATCACTTTAAAATAGGCACTACTTTACAAGGCGGACGTAAATTATGCTGTAAATGATTTTCATTTTAATATTATCATGTTCGGATGTATCATTTACCTTCGTTGTCTATTCGCGTTCCGTGATACCAACTTTTGAATCACGTGATGTGATGTGTGTAGCTAGCGAAACGGCCGCGAGCACGCTACGAGCATGGCTCGTAGTACTGTTTTACATAAAACTCATATTAGGATTGTCTTTGTTAGACGTGTCATTTACATTTGTCATCCATTCACGGCACGTAATACCAAATTTCCTATATCTGAAGCTAGTGAAACGGCTCCGAGCACACTTTGAGCAT